TGACGCCCATAGCCCCAAACGAGCTTGGCCTGAATACGACCCGAACGAAGTCGACCCATGTGGACACGAATGGCAGAGCGGATTTCGCTTGCTGGCTATGGCTGTTGGTAGTATGGGCTTTGGCTTAGTGTATCCGTGTATAGCAGCAAGAGCAAGATTTCGATGTGTGGACTCGAGCCGTCGCTACAACTGTTGACTTCATCTGATGGGTCGTGTTCCTGATAGTAGTGAGGCTGAAATCGAGCCGAAAGTTGGATACTGAATGGTCGCGAACTGTGTCGATGCTTGGTGAGTAGAGGTCTACGTCGTTGGGTGACATAGAGTCGCATTGCTGGAGGAGAGTCGAACTCTTACCTCTTTCTTAGCTGCTGACATCATCAGCTTCCCGCCAGATGACTTCCCCTTCGTCTCTCCTCTTTCTTCGTCATGCTGTTAAGCATGAGCATGGGACCAGGCCTTGAACCTGAAAGTGTGGCAAGGGTCGCTCGAGCCCCGGCATAGTTGTCGGCGAACGTCGGCTTTGGGGTCACCGAGCGTGACCAGATTATGGCTCCTAAATGCACTGGAAGGGGATCGATGGGCAATGTGCGAAGTCTAGAGGACGGAAGAGAGGGGAAAACGACCGTGAGGCTAACTGATCTAGTAATTGAAGTCAGGCTATGGGACATGGTGTAAGCCTCTTGTTGGAAGGGTGACGAATTCACTAGTTAGGTGCTAGCGGGTAGCTCTCTCGTGCCAAAAGACGTACGGTTACTGGCGACGATGCGTGATGCACAGCGGTCTTCCCCGCTCACTTTCAGTGATGATCGATTGCCTATGATATCTTCTGGTTCCAGGGCATGTATGATTTTGGGCTTAATAGTACTACTTGTCAAAGTTCATGTTTCATGTTAAACCCGGTCCTATATGGAGACTTCATCTATTGGTTTGCCGATTTTGTTTCTAAGATCAGGTAAGACCAAGATATTAGGGTTACCCTGGGGAAATGTGTTCCTCTACTGCTAGTCGTATCTCATAATCAAACTAATAGTTCGTTTTGTCGTTCACGTGAGTGATTGGTATCAGTTAAGTTGGGAAAATTATGAGGCATCTGAAAACCACCCGCGTTAATGCTTGTCTATAAATGGGGTGGTCATTGTCTAGGTTCTCATTGGCAAACTCTGACAAAGACAAGAGGCAAGGGTTAGAGTAGATGGGGGTTGCAAGCGAGTTTTGATTAAAAAGTCTAAGAATACTGCATAACTAGATCATTACATACCCCCTCTATCTGTGTTCCCTTGTTACTGGTGCCTATTGATGGGCAGGAGGAATTCCGACCTGAAAAAGGACGTATTCATATGAAATTTTATGATAATCAAATAAATAATATATTAGAACAAATAATAGTATGAGCAGACACAGTCACAAAAGGAGGGGCGTGCATGCAAGTGAACGTGTGATTGTACTAACTTGTTGGATGTACAAACAAATGGGCGTGTGAGCTTACCAGCCTGCGTACAGTCGCACTGACTTGCAGGCACAGTGATGCTCAGGGATGTGAGCTTACAAGCGATCACGTAAAAAAGTATAGAATGAGAGCTGAATGTCCTGAGCTCCTCGAAGAGGCTAGTCGGTGACACTGCAAACGCGAAACAAAGAGGACGCACGAGCTGGTCTTGAGTTCAAGCCTTGCTCGAGTGCCGCCTTCTAACTCCAACTACCTTCCATTGTCGTTGTCGATGAGCAAGAAACGATCTGTAATACGGAAGATAGCTTTTCTGCTAGTTAAATATCTGCTTGATGGGGATTAGATACGGTTGCCAGACTCTGAGGTTACGCGGACGACGATTAATGGTATAATAAGTTTCCAAAGATTATCTGATTAGAAGGTTAGTCCAACAGGGTGGAAACCAGTTTTACTCTAATGACTCCGCATTCTGCCAGAATTGAGCTTCAGTAAAACTCAACAAAAATCTCACGACTAAGGGGTGCCCGTATGCCGTTACGTGCTAGCATTCAAGCAATTCTGTAAACTATACCCAGTAAACGGGTAAGGCCGCTCGAGTGACCCCTCTCTGCATTAAGCGTTAATAAGGGTGATGTCTGACGTCTGAAAACACGAATTGCACTTGAACTCGATTTCATGTATGAGGCTACTGTGCTGAGCCAAAGCGTTGAGCCTGAGGGGTTCTGTTGTGTAATTGAATGACAAGGTACATGGGTCTTGTTCTTCTCTACTTGGGATTGGAACTCTTATCTGAGGTGAGTACACAGGGAAACCTGTGTACTACATGAGCCAGGGCGGCTCACGACTTCTCTCACCAAAGTCGCTTACCTGATTCAGTTCATTATTAGCCAGCTTGAGATCTGCCCACTCGGGTCCGGTTGAGTAGATCTACTTGGTGCAGCTAGCAAAACTGGAGTCCCCTCGCAAACAGTAGTCAAGCACACAAGGGCATCAGCAGACTCCGTCAGTGTTATTCGGGGATTTTCCATAAGAGGAACCATTCCCTACATTAGTGCCGATCAACAATCAAGGACAATTATTTTTATAACCTCCATTAATCAGTATAACTAAGGCTTTGCCTAGCGCCCGATGTAGCTTCAGTCTCGGCATCAATATTTGGAGATGTTTCAGTCATTACTGATCACGTGAGCCGACACTGAACACCATCAGCTAAATCACCCCTCCCTCCAGTTATCAATCAGCGGATCAGATTCCTCTTCAGTGACACGACCAACTATGGTATTTAGTCAGTGTCGTGGTGCCTCAGCAGTCGTTGGAAAGTCGTACTAACTTGAACAATCCTGCTGAGAATAGCTTTCCCGCTCAGTGTGTGGAAGTCATTGGGTTATCTGTGAATTAGTCGGTCCGTGGTTGAATCTCGGAGTGCGGAGGAGTCATGAAAGAAGGGGAGGTTTTGGTAGTGAAGAGCAGATCAAACAGGAATAAGAGAGAGGGATGGGAGGAAGAAGCATATCGAGATATGAGATTACACAGGAGAGTTCAACGTGAACACGCAATTCAAATGATAAAAGAGGAAAAGTATATTGAATATGTAATCTACTTCTATGGATACGATGGCAAGCTACACAGTACCAGTTCGTCGTTGGAGACGGTAGACCAGGCCAGTCAAATCTTGAAGTAGACGCAGTGAGACCCGGACACCCCTCCCTGGAAATTCACTAGTATCTGTACCAGCAAGCATCTTTCAATAGTTCGCAGTTCCCTTGCGGTAAGGTTTCATGTGATCAACGTTTCGGTGGCTCAACATTCCAGTGTTCATTCAACACTCAATCTACTTTTGACTAGCACTCGGAAAGCACTCAGGCAAACATTCAATCAAAGTTTAATCAGCATCTTTCAGCTCCAATCACCCGAGATCTACAGCCAAAAACGATCAATACAGGGTTAATTGCTTACTCTACATCAGTGACCGGTTCCGGTGTCTGTCATAACACATGAGTACAGTTCAAACCTTTTCAGTTGCAGGGTCAGTCTTGACCAATCTCAATCAGATTGCCCTCAGGGATGCGTTCCAGTACGTCAGTGCAACTGACTTCAAGCAAGATGAACTATCTATTTTTGTGGTTCACACTGAGTTCTGAAGGAACCATTCATGACTTGAGACCCTATGTAAAGAAGGGCAAGGAAACCCATGAGCACTTCGACTCAGTCTGGATTGCAGCAACCAGGTACCTTGAAGAGAGAGAGGAGTTAGATGAGAGTGGTTTCTACTCCGACTATCCCAAACCTCCAACACCCTTCACTCTCACTGATGGCTCTTGTTGAAGTGACCTGGTGGATCTGGCAAGGAGGTACATCTCTCCAGCGGTGATCGATTACGAGGCAGTGACCAAACCCTCAAATTTTCAGCATCTCAGACGAGGGATTTTCTCTCGATCATATCTTCCCACACTTTGGGAGGAGTTTTGTGCTATGGTCGATTTTCGTAACATGGGACTTGGATGGAAGCGCTCGGAACTAGCAGGTTTCAGGTGGCTCTACATTCAGAGGCCACAGGCTCAGAGAGTACGGAGACACGGCTCGGGGAACGAGAAACGCACAACAAAGTGAGAAATCGAGTGAGAGATTCAGAGGGATGAGTGAGGACTCCTGACCGGTGTTGGCCATGCTCTCTACATGTGTACTCTTTGAGACTATTATGAGTTCTCATTCTTCCCTCACCTGACCTTGTCATGGCTAGTCAGTCTTGCTTCTTGCATTGTTCTTGCTAATGATTGCATCTCTTCTGATGATTCTGTCACGGTTCTCAAAATTAGTAAATTGACAAAATTGATGCATGCATGATATACCAGAATTTTATGATCATTATCTACATGATTCTTGCTGTTCCGAATCAAAATAAAAGATTCCTAAGACTAGGGACCGATGAAGACCGCAATTGAAGGGTCTCGCTCGAAGTTGGACGCACACAACAGGAAGAGACTTGCTGTAATTAATTTATTTTATTTACTGTAAACATCAACTCCAAATCCTGCGTGACAGCCTGTTGGCTTTCCGGTCGCCCGAAGTGGCCCGACTGGAAAAAGTGCGACAACGACACACTCACACTTCTACTTCGTAAAATGTATCCAACCGCGTTCCAGTCCAAAGCATTGTTTCAATTCTTTTTGTCCCCTAACTTTCTGATCCTGACAACAAGGCTATAACGCTCTCATTGAGGGCCTACTAACACACATACTCTGAAAATTGCATCCAATTGGGTTCCCATCCAAAGGGTTGTTTCTTTCTCTTTTCCTTGTTTTTCTTTTTGAATGGGACCACTGTTACATCTGGGATATAAGGCACCTACTCAAAGCAGGACGTCCTTCGGGACATCCATTAAAATTGGAACGATACACATGGAGGTCGAAGAGATGACGGCCAGCGCTGCGCATCGCTAGCGCCCTGGTACCCTGCAGGGGACCGATTGGCAAGGCCCAACCTGCTCTCTGCGCGACGCGTCAGCAACACTGACGTGGCTTTCACGCCGGATCGTGTGCATGCCACGTGGCGTGCAACATAGTGCCCGTTTGAGAGGGGTGTTTCTGGTGGGGAAGGGGTGTTACTAGGAGTACGAGATGCGATGTGTGGCGTGGCAAGGGCTTACACGTGGCATGGCTTTAACTATGAGGAGCGATATCGGGGCGTTCATTACCGAGCCTGCGGCATCAACAGGGGCGAGAGTTGAGGGCCAGACGGAGATGGCGTGCTTGAGTGACATGTGGACAGGAGACACCGAATGGCTCTGCAGTGCTCAAGCGACTAGTGCGCGCTTAAGTCAAATCCTGACGAAGTTGCGAACGGTTGTGATCGAAAGGGAGAAGCCGTCGATCTTGTGGATTCGAAGTGCTCAACAATCTTTAATGGAGATTGGATGGGGGTTGGAAGAGGGGCCGCCCCCCCACCTGGAATTCGCAGATTGGCCACGATCGAATGCGTTCATGCGGCGCTGCTACAAGGACCTTGAGGAGGGGCAAGGTCTTTGTGGCGACTTGGAGGATAGACTCTACGACGACGACGACGACGATATTGCGGACGACACTCGTGACAGCATCATCACCGTTGACGACGCGGTTGATACCGGCAACCATGACGACAACAATCAGCTCATCTGCGTCGCTGAGGCCTGCAAAAACAACAACAACAGCAATAACACATTGACGGTGCCTGTGGCACAGGCCGCAAACATCAACAACAACAACCACACGGTGCGCAATAGAGGGATAGGAGGAGCGATCTCCAGTTTGTGCGTGCCTGGGAATGATGACGATCTTGACACTAAAAACAACAACAACAACAACAACAACAACAACATAGTATGCAACAACAAAACCTACATCAGCAAAAAAATTGGTGACGATACGCGTGGAAATGTAAGTGTGACTCAACTGTTTCTCTCCCCCCTTTCTCCCCCTGCCATCCCGCTTTCCCTCCTGTCTTCTTTGGGGAGCGATTGGGGCCAGGGGCGAGAGGGTTGGGTGATTGGAATGTTTGGTGGACAGGAAGACGGTGCGGGGATGCGGGGGGTGGGATGGTGGCGCGAAGGGGTGGGATAGTGAAGACAGCACCCTAATTAGCATCAAGGCCCCCCACCTTGTGTGGACTCATGGATCGTGCGGATCGTGGGGGGAGGTTGGTGTCGGTAATCTGATACAACCTTGTTCCCTAATTTGAGTGCCCCTCCTCCTTGTGACGCAGTAAGAGCTCTTGGCTCAATCGCTGGTTATGAGGATCGAGGGGGGATATGGCGATTTGGGGATTACCTATAAGTGATGACTTGGTGATGATTTTGGAATTAGCCATAATAGTTGACCTAACTCTCTATTCTGATTGCCTCTCCCCCTCATGGTGCTGTGAAGGTCTTGTTAGTGGATGATGAGGGTTTCGGAACATGAATTCCATTTTAACCGCGATGAGCAGTTAATCCCCTTGGTTGAGGGCAATCAATGCTGCTCATCATATAATAGAGTGTGCCCGCATGTTGCTTCGGTTGATCACGCATGCATTCTGTGGGATGGACACGTGGCGTGTTGACATGAATTCGGGTGTTTTCAGAACACCTGGCTATAAATGCTGAGCGGCGCTGGACCCGATTTCCAGCAGGTGCCGCTCCCCACCAATAGATGGAGCCTCCCCGAGCATGCTAGTGGTGTCTGCTCTTATCAGCACCCCTAGCATTCACTCGGGTTGTTTTCTCAAAAAAAA